TAGTTTCTTACTTATATACATCTCTTCTGTTTCCTCTTCCAGGCTTCCTGATACTATGCATATCTGTACATGTGGGTGCAATATGCCCCAATAGCTTTTGTGTAAAACAGCTTTATCATATAGTATAATTTACAGCGCAATCATATGCAGGTTCAGACAGGAAAAAGTCCTGCAACATGTAGAATTCTCTACTCTGATGTTGGGAGTTACAGGACCATTTTTTGATTAAACATGCCTTTTTAAAAAGGGGATTTCAAACTCATATCAGGAATGTGCACCAACCACAGGATCATATTGGTTGCCCTTTTCTTGCACCTTTTCCTCCTCTATAATATCCTTCTCCAAGGCAGATAGATGAGGCTGTACACAGAAACTCAAGTATAATACTGGCAGGTTTATTTTTTGTTTCTTTCCTAATAAGCCCTATCATCCAATTTGCCCTTATTACCAGTGACTCACAGTGAGTTACTGTCCTCAATTAGTTATTTCTTGGAACACCAAACTGAGGCGTTTGTCAAGGACAAGGATGGGCAAGGACTCACACCCAGCTGGGCCACTGGCATAAGCCTCCTCGCCCTAGCAACTTGCCCTCAAAAACCTGGGGCAGCACCACCCTACATGACCTGTTTGGAGCTCCTTTGATGGAGCATGGAGTTGAATACCCCCTGCAGCTTTTGCAAACCTTTTAGATGCGTTGCACTGCAATTCCCAGGGGCCCACCATGGATGCTTTGCCCAGGAACACTTGACACACAGCAGGTACTGCTGCAAACCTCTTTCTTCCTAAGTCACCATCTCCTGAGAGCGCCTCATTGCATGAGGTCCATCATGAGAAAGCAACGAAGAAAGGGCTGCCACTGAGGAACCCCTACCTGTAGGGGCTCTGTAGGTCAGAAGCAGGCCATCTTTTCAACCCCACAGGCACATGGTCCTCTTTATACTGGTGGTGGTCCACAAAGGCACATCTGTCCCATGGGCCTTTATTTGTGGGAGCCTCTCTTTCTTACCTCAACTGCTTTGTCACTGCCACTGGTAACTCCACAGTGTGACTGTTGTCTGGCATACAGCTGTTGACAGCAAACTATTGTCGTTGGGTCATAAAGAGATGTGAATGGAGCTTGAGGGTGGCAACAGAAGGGCTAAAGGGAGAGGGTGGGGGGCATCCATAACACTATGAACCTCTGGGTTTTAAGGACCTCCTCCAAACCTCCAGTGCCTGCATTTTCACCCCATTCTTTAAGCAGGAGCTGTTGTCTAAAGGATATTTTAAGTAGCCAGCAAATGCTCTGAAGGGCAAAAGGTCACAGCTGTGCTGCTTGGCAGAGCATTGCAGCTGTAACTGGGCTGCAGCCCAGGCTGAAATTTGCAGGCTGAATTAACACACAGGCTCAGCACTGTTCCTGGGTTGGCAGTTAATGCCAAGGCAGCTCTGCTGCTTTCCAAGCAGGTCCATCTGCTGCGGCTCAGAACTTATCCAGACAAACAGGCCTGCATGCCTTTGCATCTTATTGACTCCTAATCCTCGTGTCTCCTGGGCATGCGTCGAACAAAGCAGAGGTGTCTTGTTAGTGTTTTATTCCATTATATTGCTGTTTAGAACATATATCTGTCTGTCTGTCTGTCTGTGTCTGTATCTGTATCTGTGTCTATATCTGGGATCTGGGATCTGGGATCTGGATCGGATTTATTTATAACTGACAAAAACAAATCTAGATGTATTTTGATTCAAATTGGTTTAAGGAGAAAAAGTGGCTAAAAGGGTGAGTTACTACGGTGTCCTACACTTTAACCCTTGGTAACCCAGCACCCACTAAGCCCTCTGGAAGTATTCACTGGATACTCCTGAGGACCCTCCTCCCTCTCCTGTCTTCCCTTACTGAGATTTCTTCCCTCCCTCCCTTTCTGCTCTCACTTCCTTCTGCTTTCCCCTTTCTCATTAGAGTGGTGAGTTAAAGGAGAAAGTCATCTCATGGAGGAGGAGGGGGAGGGAAGGAAATCTCAGGTGGAGGATAAAGAATAGGGTGAGCAGAAAAGGAGGAGGAGGAAGGTGACCAGGCAAAGGGATGGAGGTGAGTGTGATGAGGAAGAAACTGAGGATGGGGAAAGGAGGAGGAAATCTCAAGGAAGAAAGTTGGCTTGGGAGGTGAAGATGAGGAAGGTGAGTGTGGAGGGAGAAGAAGAAAATTGCAGGTGGGAGGAAAAAGAGGCAGGTGAGTGTAGGAGGGCTTGGAAAGACAGCCCTTCAGATAAAAGAGCATTGTCCTCTCTTAGCTCTCCAAAATAAAGGACTGTCCTCTGCAAAGTAGAACAACTGGCCACCCAACTTATTTTGTCGAATACTGATTCTCATTTTCATCTTTGCATTGTTTCATGGAAAACAATCCAGGTAAATCTCCACAGTTTCTCAAAAGAGGACAATTGTTAAGAACCTCTCTGGCAACAGCAGGGAAAAGGACGTGTCACTTAGCTTGGACTATTTGCTGTTTCGAATAAGGGGACTGCTTTGCTTTTCATTGCATGGCTAACAGAAGTGTATATTCAGTAGCACATCGTGATTAAAACAAAAGAAGGCAGGACAGAACCTGGAGCAGGTGGTTTCGCTGTTCTCATGCTGGAAAGAGGCAGCAGCTCTTGCTGGGTCGACTTCTGTGCAATGAATGCATGAAAACCGCAGGTGTTTGCAGCTATCACAATGTTATCACACTGTCAATATTTATCTCACTTCAGTTGCAGTCATGAGATAGAGAACCCAGCCTCATTAAATGACAGGGGTTATAAAGGGAGGTGGCCACTTCATGCCGACCTTTTCCCCAAAGAACTACAAGGACCTGCCAGGGTCTGCCTTCCAGACCTACCGTTCTCCCTAAACTTATTGCAAGACAATCTAGAAGAGAGCCAGCAATAGAAGGCAAACACCTGTCTTCAGCCTCCCTTCTGTCACCCGCCTTGAAGCAAAGCCCATTGGCAGCCTCAAATAGGGAAAAAGGAAGGAACAAGCTGGTGTAATCCAATGGTAAATGCAGAGCTTAGACCAGTGCCTATTTCAGCTTTTTGACGGCTCTTCAACAAAACATTTTCAATGGGCTCTCTCTCTACATGAGTCTCACTGCCTCTCCTCTTTCTCATCCTTGCTAGCACTTGCTTGCTTGATGGTCAGGCAGCCAGTGAGCAGATAGGTAATGTTGGTCTCTCATGCTCACCACCACTGTTGTCTCAGCCAGAACAAGAGGCCATCAAACCAGTAGGCTGCAATAGAGAAGAGGGCCAACTAGCAACTCCTGGGAATGTTGCTAGTTGGCCCTTAATGGGATGTGGGTCCTGGGTAGGAGCCCCACCATGCTCTGTATTTGATCATGAAGCCTCCAAAATCTGCTTCCAGTGCCAAGGATCTCTTCTGAAAGGTATGAAACAGGAAGAGAGGGAAACCACCCTTAATGCATGCAGAATGCATCTCTCTCGTTAAGCAACAATAGCAGGGATGCCCAAGGTGGTTCTTTTGAGGATGTTCAGAGGTACCCAAGAAGCTCTCAACACCCTCTCCATTGAGTTTATTTTAAAAAAAACCTTGGAAAGCATTAGTGTGTCAGTTTCTCATCTATATGCTGCACATTTGCAGTGGTCAGGGAAGCAAGGGAGAATTGTTTTCTGCGCCCACCCCATGTTCTGCTCACACAGATCTTCCCCTTTGCTCTCTTCTCTCTCTCTCTCTCTCTCTCTCTCTCTCTCTCTCTCTCTCTCTCTCTCTCTCACCATTCCCAGGCTCTATCTTCACTCTTTCACTTGGCCCAGTCCCTTTCCTTCCCCTTTCCTTGCCCTCTTTTTCTAGCCTTACTCTTCCTTCAGTCTCTGCACCTTTGCCTTGCATATTTTCCCCTCCTTCCCTCCCTCTTGGCTCACTATTTCTGCTCCTTTGGCTCATGTTAGACTAACCAAGCCCCCATGGCAGCAATTACCTGCATCCTCCCTAGAAGACATTTTGTAATAGTGCCCAGATCAGATTATCAATTTCCCATATGTGACCGCAAGTCTAAAAGTTTGGGAAATTATAGAGTCTTCATAGATCAGAAATTAAGGAGTGCTCCCAGACCTGAGCTTTACCATCACTTTTCCTCCTAAAAGTTAAGCATGGAGTGAATCCCTGCTTATTTTCCCCTTTGTGTCAAAGGGCTGGTTCAGGCATCTCTCCAGAATCAACAGAGATTGATGGCTTTTGGACATGCCTCCCTCTGTTCTTACGAAAGGCAAAGCACAGTGCTGGCTTTGTAGCATTTCTCCTTTATGGAACAAAAGGCCTTCAAGAGCACACACTGAGCTACAGGGCAGAAGTCTCACTGTAAGTGCTTGCTCTGCACGGTGCAGAGAAGACTGCTGCATGTGGTGCACAAAGGGAAAGAGGATTGCAAGCTTCTAGACAAAGCCAGCATGCACCAAACATCCAGAAATATGTAAGTCTCTGGATGCACCTCAAGGCAAGAAAGAGAGGCCTTGGTGCCAAGGATTCTTCCAGAAAGCATAACGTTGAACCCTGGCCACTCTTCAAATTCTTGCCCTTTTCATCCAAGCCAAGTTTTCTTGGTTTCATCTCTTTGGTGGGTTTTTCCAAGGAATCCTGCCAGGGGAAGCTTCACAGAGCAGGACAGATTCTTTACTGCCAATTCGTATTATTGTTCTGAGCCTGAAGAAACCCCTCTTTTCTATTTCTAAAGGAAATTTACATCATAGAGGAAAGATGCACACTTTTAAGTGATCTATGGACAGCCTGTATCTCCTAGAATACTCTATGAAACTCCTCCAAGAATGCACTCTGCCCCCATCTAGACAGTCATGTGAAGTGACACATGTACAAGCATCACACAAAGGACTCTTCATACAGATTGTACACTGTTGCCTATGCAGACTTTTTGTGCAGGAATTTCGTAACATCTGATGCAGTCCTCAGATTACACCAGCACATTCCCTCTCCAGACAGCTGGCCCTTTTAACTACATTAAATGCAATTACCTTCATTCCTGCAGCAGCTGCTGGGCCACTGGGATCCACAGCTTGAACGTGGCACGGTTTGTTCCCACGCACCACGAATCCCCACCCGACGGCATCACCTACAATCTGGAGAAGGAACAAGATGATGCCACAGTGAATCCTGTTGTTGTGGTCTTTTGGCCACACAAGTGCACGCAGTGTTTAACTGGTCTAAAATCCACACCATTACCCAATTCCCACTCAGTAAATCGGGTGACTCTGGTAGCAGCATTTCTCCATACCTAGAGTGCTTTCTGCACAGAATTGACTTGCGTGATATGTCAGGTTCTTTGAGGGTTATTTACCCATGATGAGATCCGGCATGACTTTTGGAGTATGAAGCCCTTCCAGGCCATTGCTATGTCACATGAAGTAAACCCCTGAGAACAGTTTGAGGATTAAATCATGTTCACACAACCCCTTTGTTGCAGCATCATTTGTGGCTTGTTTTACCCTTAAACAATCCCAATTGTTTGAGGATTGTTTCACACTTAAATATCACCAGTTATTTGAAGGTTAACCCTAATCCTTAAACAACCCCAGTATTAAACCCTCCAATAACCTTCACATGACATAGCAATGCATGCATGGGTATTATATATGCAAAATGGCATCCAGCACATGTTGTGGCTCATTGTAGGTTAAGCAATCTGAAGTGAGGACAGCGTGTTGTGTAAACTGGGTTATTGTGCATTTGGCACTTTCCTGAGAAGCTTCAAGGACAGCACTAGCAGGGTTTGGCTTTCAGGCGAAGGCTGCAGACATTTTTGTGATGTGGCTGGCAGGCCTTGGCCACTGTCTATTAAGGCACATCAACAAATAATCCAAGCTCATTAACTCTCTTTCATCTAAAACATATCAATCCGCTAGCACTGCTGGCCAGGAAACGCTGCCATTAGCCACAACAGCCACTGGTTAGAAAGAGGGATCATTTGTTCCTCTTGGTCCGTGCAAAGGAAATGCATTGGTTGATTGGCAGTTATATGCTCGGGATGGAAAGGTGTCACTACTTTTCATTCCAGGAAATGCTGCAGAGACAGATCTTATCCCCAGGACAAATCTCTCTTCCAAAACTAGAACAAAGAGTCAGTCTAAAACATTATTGCCTAGGATGTTGAGGATCCAGCTCAGCAATGGATTTGCCAGTTCCAGGAATAACAATCCTGCTCCACAGCAGCACTCATATATGAGAAAGAAAGTAACACTCAGATCATGCACAGATAGCTGGAGGAAGTTTACGAGATGCTTAACACAGCCACTGAGCAAGTGGAGATAACTTTCCCTTTCCTACCATAACTTTCCCTTTCTCGGGCCCTATATGGATGCAGGAATTGGGTACAGAAATACCTTCCTGCTGCTTCCTGGAATGAAAGCGCAAGCTATACAAAATTTTCCTTCCCAGCTGTGATCCTATGACAGGGCAAATCAACTATGTCATAGATACAATAAGAAGCTCCATGGCTGTGCTGCTTGGTTTACTTTCCTTTGGATCGGAGACTTCTGGGGACTGATGGCATCTATGTAATATTTGCTTTCTGTATAGGTGTACAGATGGCACGGGCAGAGGCAAAGTTAGAAAATCTCATGGACAGTGATGGCGTAGTCCTCTGAATTGGGCAGCCCCAGTTTTAACTTACTAGTGAGAAGCTCCATGTAACACCTTCTCCCCCCCTCTTCTAAACTGCCGACAACCCCTTCCTGCTGTCCCTCTGCCCTATACCTGCAAGTGGAGAGGTGGAATTTCCCCCAACCTGTGTCAGCTGGCTTCACTGAGGTTTCTTTGAGACCCTTAACCAGAAGAAGATGGCCTTCTGTCCTTAGCATTCACAGATGAAATGTCATCTAACCGTTTGTGCTTAACAGAAGAATGGTCAGCCAGCAGTCATAATAATATCCATAAATATACATGCAGTTAGATTTCTAGGCTTTCGACTCATATAGAATTACGTTATTTCTATGCCATCCCCTGAAACTCAATACTCTAATCCCTAAGAATGTATCACTGTCAAGCCACTAAAATTAAGCTGCTATCTTGTCCTAATGCACACATCTCAAGGACTGTAATGAAGACATAGATCGCAACACTGCAGAGAGTTGGCATGAAGACAATGGTCAAAATGCCATGAGCAACTGCCAATAAATGTGTGAAATGGAGACATACTGTGAAGGTTTTTCGAGAATAGGGAGCTCCGGGCATCAGCAGTTCATCAGGAGTCACTGGTCTCTTTAATACTGTAAAGACATAGGGAGATATTAGATGAAATTTTCCCTGGAGGCTGAGTCTTTTTCCATACTAGGTGCTAAGAATGGAATCACCAGGTGCCGCTCAGTCACACTTTACAGGTGGGGTGGAGTCATCAATTCATGACCCCGTGTTACCCTAGTACTCTTTCCATCTTTGTCATATTGCAGAACACCCCATGTTGCTGAGAACAGAAGACCTGGACAATCTGTACAGGTGTAAATGCCCTGGTCGTTTCTCCTTTTTAACGAGTATGGTTCTGATACAGGCAGAAATATATTGGACCTGTGGGACATTACATCTCAACACATTCAACACACTTTGAGGTGAATGCCATTTTGTAACCGCATTATTTTTTTAAAGACAATCTTTCTGTTGGTGTTAAAATCCTTTTACAGCTATAATTTGGTTGCACAGTATTAACAAAATGACACTGAAATGAAAGAATATTATAGCACTGTAACACTATAATGATGTTGGGTTTTTTTAAAGTAAAAAACACATTCCAGTTACATCATATTAGCAATGTGGTTTTAATCCCAATACAACCTTTCTGATCTATACTGCCAATTCAAAAGCAATGCAAAACATGTTAAAGGCACATATACTTCTTGATATTTTTCCTTAATGATGGTAAACCTGCCCCTGACAAACCTACACAAGGGCAGGGCCGGTGTCATTAATATTAATGACACTGGCTCTATCATTAATATTAATAACAGCACTGTACATGTAACGAAAGCTGGCCATTCCACTAAGGTCTGCCATCAGGTTGCCTCCCAGTCCCTGCTGGTGGGATTTCTATGGAGCTCCAAGTCCTACAGATCTACTGACTGGTCCATACAGCTCTGCCTTGGGGGTCCAGAGCTTTGCTTGGTGTCGATACTATCAGCCGTGGCAGTGGTGCTCAGAGCCGGGGGTGGTGCTCGGTCAGAGTAATCAGGATTCTCTGAATACTGAGTAATCAGGTGTTTGGATTTCATCAGGATTCTCTGAACATCCTGCTATTCATCTCATGCCCAATTTTCATTTGTGATGGTTGCTTGCTTTGCGTGAGCATGGAACTTGTTTAATTAGAGCAGCGATCAAACTGGAGATTTGCACACATTTCTTTGAATTGATTCTGTCTGTAGGATTGATTCTATTTATGCAAATTAGGAAATTTGTGCAAATTGAACTGGGAATCGGGAGCAAGACAAATGCAAGCATGGATTTGACAACTGACAGTTTCAGCAGACAAATGCTCACATTCACACATTCAAATAGGGCATGCTTGCACATTTTGAAAGAAAGAACAAAATTCCCATATATCTACTCACAGCCCCAGAGCATCAGCCATGAAGGATACTAATGCCATGCCATCTAAAATGGATAGAAAGAATTCCAATTGTGTGTATTTAGGGGAAAGGTTTTAAGGGAAGGGAAGTAAATTTATAGACTGCTTTTCAGGTATATGACTGGAGTAGTCATTTTCTGGCGCTGGAGAAGACTCCTGCAAGACCCTTGGACCACAAGGTGATCAAACCAGTCAGTCTGAGAGGAGATCAACCCTGACTGCTCTTTAGAAGGCCAGATCCTGAAGATGAAACTCAAATACTTTGGCCACCTAATGAGAAGGAAGGACTCACTGGAGAAGAACCTAATGCTGGGAACAATTGATAGCAAAAGAAAAAGGGGACGGCAGAGGATGAGGTGGCTAGATGGAGTCACTGAAGCGGTTGGTATGAGCTTAAGTGGACTCCAGGGGATGGTGGAGGACAGGAAGGCCTGGAGGGATGTTGTCCATGGGGTCACGATGGGTCAGACATGACTTCCCGAGTAACAACAACAAATCATTTTCTCCCCTTCTTTCTAAGCAGACCAGGCCAAAGACTTTCTAACAAACAAGCTTTATTATGTTAAAACTTAGCAGCTAGACTGCCTTTGTAGTACAAAAAAGAGTGGTAAGTGCAGAAGTCAATAATCAAAAAAGTTAAAAGACTGCTCATTAGGGAAATGTGGCTTAACAGTAAGAAGATGATTCCAAATGAACACCATTCCTCTCTTCCAAAAATGAAAACAAGCTACACTTTCCAAATTTGCACCCCTGTTCCAGGGTCAATCATTTAAGAGTATCTGAAGCTTCTCAACTGGCCTGCCCTCTTAACCTAATACCATATTCTCAAATCAATAATGTTAAGTCTGCTCCCTCCACATTAGTATGCCACTAAGCCTTCCCACTGGATTTGAGACTGTCTGATTCCCAGATACATTCTGGATTATCTCTTGTCCAATGGCTTTGACCTTCCTGTTGTGGATTCTGGCCCTTCCTCCTTTTTGACTCAGAAACTGATTCCACAAACTTTGAAAGATCTTTTATAAGAGTGGGCCCAATCCCTACAATGACTCTCAATGCATTTTGCAAAGTGTTAAACAATTATACAGTAGAGTAGTACTATTGCTATTACATTTGCAGGATGGCAGCCAGCAGCACAGTATCTTCCAACCAGATACTTCAGCACAACACAACACAACACAACAGCAGGGCTTTGCAGCTGCAGAAAAGGGCAGTGCTGCTGATTTTTGCTGCTCCTTTGTAAAAGGGCAACATAGGCACTCCCACACTTAAGTACACAGCTTCTAAAGACTTCAAGTAAATAAATGGCAAAGAGCCGACCTGCTATTTACCACGAGTGACATCCAATGGATGCCCACAACAGGTTGCATGTAGCCTTAAAGCTACAGCCCTATACACACTTACTTGAAAGCAAGTCCCACTGAATTCACTGGGGCTTGTCTTTCAGTAGACATGCATAGAAGTATCTTGACCTACATTGCAACTAACGTACAAGTGGGGTGGGTGTGGAAGGGAGGATTCTCCAGGTGTTCCCACTGACCTTGTACTGTGCTTTGATTTCTGGGGAAATGCAATGTACCCTCAGTGCAAGAGCAACCATGGGGAAAGAGCAACACATAAGTAATCATTGTGCAATCTTTGCACTAGGAAAGCACCATCTCTCAAAAAGCTGAGGAGACCTTTAGGGTGCCCTCAGGTGAAAAGAGGAATGCTTTCAGAGGGGGTGCTGAAGACTTCAGGACACACTGAGTATGTTAATGCATAACCAAAGTTTGACATTGGAAAAGAAAGCATTGCTTTACTCTTTGATATGAAAATCTCCCTTTGAAGGAAATAAAGTGTGGATAGAAGATGCATATGTCGTACCCTCTCCCCATGCTTAAAAAGTAGGAAGACAAGCATGAATGGGCAATCTTTGATCTTTCTGGAGAAAGGAAATCACTTAGAGAAAAAACAACATGACTATGACAGTTTTCATCTAGTTAACGAGGGACTTGTCGACCATGAGCTGATAACAATGAAAGAACTCCAAAATTCCTCCAGCTCACAGTGTTATCACTTTGTGGCTCTTCCCTTTCATGTGCTGCCCTGTTTCATTAACAGCTCGGATAAATTACATGTCTTCACATTTGTGCCACTGCTGTTGCACTGTTTCATCCAAGTGAAGGGGGAAGAATTATGAACTGATCTACCATCTGGACTTAAGCTGGGCAGAAAAGATGGATATTTAAAAGCAGCTTCTGGTCGATTCTCACAAGCAGTGACAGTGCCTGCTCAGTCTGCTGCTGACGTAGAATCACGGTATGGGAAGGGGCCATTTGGCTGCCATGCTGCTGCATAACTGTTTGGGCATACATAACTTCATATGCATTGGCTTTCAATGTATGCTGAGTTCTATGTGCTTCCACGTGGCTGCCATTGGTGTGTTAAAATCAATGCAAACAGCAACTTCCATGTTGCAAGAATCGGCCCACGAAACCTCTGGAAGCATGCCTGTGTGTGTGGGTTGGGTGCGGGAAGAAGGAGCTGGAGCATGGGCTGAGTGCTTGCAGATTCGTCTAATCATCCGCACATGCTTTTTGGGGAACATTTCACAGCATCGTTGCTTCAAGTGCTGAACGTATCCACACGAGTGGTTGCTATGCAGTCCTTTAAATTATATCATCAGTCTCTGTTGCTGGACTGGACTGCTTTTGAGCTGCATTAAGAGAAGTATAACTTCCAGATCAGGTGAAGTACTCTTTCCCTACTATTCAGCACCATCTTGAGTACTGTGTCCAGTTGTGGGCCATGCATTTCAAGAAGGACACAGACAAGCTGGATGGGGTTCAAGGAGGATGATAAGGATGATCAGGGGTCTTGAAAGAAACCCCTATAAGGAGAAACTGAAAGAACTGGGCAGGTTTAGCCTGGAGAAGAGAAAACTGAGGGAGATACGATAGCACTTTTCAAATACTCAAAAGGCTGTCATAGACAGGAGAGCCAGGGTCTCTTCTCGGTCAACCCAGGGTGCAGGACATGAATAATGGGCTCCAGTCACAGGAAGGAAAAACATCCTGGCATTAGTGCAGTACAGCAATTCAACCAATTGTCCAGGGAGGTTGTGGGCTCTCCTGAACTGGAGGCTTTCAAGAGGCAGTTGGACAGCCATCTGTCAGGGATGCTTCAACTTGGAGTCCTGCGTCGAATGGGGCAGTGGAGTTGATAGCTTTTGTATCCCCTTCCAACTCTACTCTTTTATGATTCTATGAAGTCATGGAAGGTTCGCTCACTGAAGTAGCCAAGAATTTAAATATTCATTTAAATAGGTGAGCCTGGCTGATCAGGGTTCCGGCCTAGCTTTTGTCCTGACATGCTACTTTTGAGAAAGAAATACCATGATGCAAACACTCAGTTCAACACTTTCTGCCCATCCTGGCACATTGTGAATGCTTGCTGTTCATACAGCTCAAGGCTGAATCAGCCATAAAGCCAATCCCAATTGGGATCAGCTTTGTCTAAAGTTCCCCAGACACAGCAGTTAAACCTGGTGATTTGTTTACAGTATACTCCACATTAAGTGGGGCAAATGTCAAACATGCACACAAATTATTTTGTCCAGTGTTTCCACTGTTTAACATAAACATACAAAAGGGAAAAGCAATGGAACATAAATTGCATGCACACAATGCAAACAAGGAACTCATCTTTGTAAAGGCACATTCCTTCATGCAACTGTGAAAGCACCACAGCTGTCTCAGTGCTAAATTGGCTGGATGTCTTCCAAGGTTTAAATTGGACATGACATTAAGTGCATCTCTACATTTAGCATGCACAATTTTACAGTTACAAATTGCAGTCACCCAGCAAATTGTCAGAATAGCAAGCTATAGCGAGTCTTTCTGTGGCTGCTACAGAAGTTGTTTTTCTGCAGCTGCTACTAGCTCTTCTCCCAGGGCAAAGAGCGACTTTGGAGGTACAATTTTTCAGCAGGACCACAACAGAAGAAAAAAGAATCAAACTCCCCCCAGCTCTGCACATGTGGCAAATCAAAAAAGATCATCCTGGTTGTGTTTTCCTTTAATAACCATGCATTAAAATGTTGTGAATTTGTTTTATAAGCCGCCGCTCAGAGAAACCAAGTTTGAGCTAATGTAGCTGCATAGAAATTGGAGAGAGAGAGAGAGAGAGGGGAGAGATGGAACAGTGCATCTAACATCGGGTCTAAGTTTGCCCCTGACATTCTCCAATGCAAATGTGCCTTACCTGATTTGGGGTTGCACAGCACCGGAGGACTGCTACTGATTGTAGGGCTACTGCTGAAATACCCGCTGCTCCCACAGCTGCTCATGCTACTCCGTCTCACTGCGGAGACAATCTTTATCTCCTTGCTAGGACTCACTGTGCAAAGCAAACCAGAGAAATTATGCAGAGGGAGGAAAATTGTTCTTGACTCTCTTACAATTTTCCTTACGTTCATTCATAATTCTGGGGCCAGGTCATCACTTTTCTCCTTATCAGGGAAGCTTTTTCGCACCACTGCCTAAATCCCAGTGCCTCTTATTACTTCAGTGATCATATGGATGCCTTTTTTTGAGAGGGGGACTTTTGCTTGTTTGTTTTAATAAATAAAGCTTTGTCTTCTCTTGAGTTTCCTTCCTTTACACCTCCTGATGCCACTCCCCATCTCTGTATGCTGTTGCTGTTATGCGCCATCAAGTTGACTGCAACTTATGGTGATCCTAGGAATAAAAGCCCTCCAAAATGTCTTGTTCTTGACAGCTGTGAGAGAAAAAAATCATAAATGCTCCTTTCCTAGTTTCACATGCTTAGCAAAAAAGCTGACACATGAAAATAGATGGTGTAGGAACATGCAGAATCAGAAAATTGAGTGAGATACTAATAACACAACTACAATTAGGCATTGTAGTACTATGTAACAACAGGGACTCAAATGGGCTCAGGATGAGGCTTTAAGCTTGGTCCTTTCAAGGGCAATCTAGAGATGAAATGTGAATACAGAGAAGACAGGGTGAGATCTGTGATGAGTAACCAAGAAGGTTCAGGACCCATGAGAAAGTATCCCTAGAGTAATATAAACTATAAAAGCCTTGTTCTATTATTGATCGGGGCTGTCCCTTAGAGTCCGGCCTATACACATGTGTATAAAGACTCTTCCCTTGCATGTCATATTCTTAATAAATATTACTGGTTTGCTTTTCAAATCTATTTGGCCTGTTTCCTTTACAATCTGACACAGTCCTGCACAGTTTTTGTAAATTCAAGGCTGTGGCTTCATTTATGGAGTAAATCTATCTCATAGTTGGCCTTCCTTTTTTTCCCCCTCGGCCTTCTACTTTCCCTAGCATAACTGTGTGTTCATACTAACAGAATTATCACATTTTGACTGCATATGTGGGATCTACATTTTTAGAATTGCAACTGTACAACCATGCTTACCTTAATACTAGAAAAACACAAGGCACGTGCACGAAAGTGTATTCACTTTGTTTTTGCTTAAATCAGCTTGTACAATGTAAATGGAAAACCTGCAGTGCCCGGAATGTTCATATCATAAATGCTTCATTTCCACTTTTACTTTTCTATTAAGATAAATTTATGCCTGCAGCAATGGGACAAGAGCTGGTAGGAACATAAGAAGAGGCCTCCGTCTACTTGTCCACCTAGTCCAGAATTGTCAATTCTGACTGGCCCCCCAGAGGTACAGCCAGAGGTGTCCTGTCACCTGGCAGGAACTGGAAATTCTGCATGCAAGGCATGCAGTCTAACACTAAGCAATACTTCTTCCTTTAGTTAAGTACTAAAAGGGCAACTCCCTGGTGTAATTAATAGGAGCAAGCCTCCTATGGGTGTACAGGAATGTATTGAAACGGCTCCAGTTCCCAAGGTGTTCTAGGTAAAATGCTCTTCTTCAGGGGAAAGAGCACATAAAACATAACTTAAGAGAAAGAACTTGTTTAACATGCAGGCTTGTCCTTTAACAAGAGCAGATTTAAGACGCGTGTGCTGCACTGGAGGGGTGGGGAGTGCTGTTTTTCTGTCAAGGGAAACATTCCCAGCACTAGCTGTTGGCAGAGGCAAAGCCACAGAAGGATAGAAGCCCTCTCTTCTTTCACTCTTTCTGACACCCCATTCTTTTTCTCCCTCTCTCTACCCGCCTCTCCTCCACCCCACTTGCACACTGCCAGGGGAAGGACAAATCACAAAGGCTGGAACTAATCACTTGCAGAGGGTTATTGAAATCAGAATGAGGGAATCTTGTTGCCCACCCTTCAGCAACAGGGCAACCAATTCTATGGATCACAGTAGGCCCCCTCTCACAGTAGGGGGTGGGGGGTGGGGAGAAAGCCTATGCATTTATCTACCATATTAAAAAAATGAATTAAACAACCATCCCAAAAACAAAATTTTGCATTAATGTAACATAATTCTTCTCCATGAAAACTTGTTTTTGTAGCTATATGTCCTACTTTACAGTGGGCAATCCACTATTTGAGGGACTGCCAGAAAACAGTCCTCTGTTTGACAGTGTCCTCTAGTCAAGAAGTTGTCAGGTTCAATTCTTTCATAAAGAGAAGAAAGCACAAGAAGCCAGGAAAGCAGAAGCAGTGACTGGAAGTGGGTCATCAACAGTTGGCAACCACAGACTGAGGTGGATCAATAGGTCAGAGCTTTTCCCTTTACGGTGAGATATTCAACTGCATTTCTATTTAAATTATAGTAATTCTTTCCGAACTTGCATCTAACAATTAGCATATGGAAATTTTATACAAACTGATATTCTGTTATCCTCCTTGGGCCTCCTTTCTGATGATGTGTAAGTGACCACTCTAGAAACAGGATCCTTATAACCCACTACATCTACTTTTGGAGTGGTCCCAGAATTGAGATTGGAGCACTCCATAGAATGGTCCTGCTTTTCCACGTCATAAACTCTAGGTAGTGCTGTGGTATAGAAAAATAGTGCAAATACCCAAGTGAAAGAAACAGTTTCTTTGGCATTCATAATTAAATGCCATGTTTTTCCTGCTCTAAAAATGCTGTTAGCATTTTTTTAGAGGGTCACAATGTTGTCTGAAGAACCTGTAAACAACCATGACTAAAGAATGATGAGGACACAATGAATTCCTTCTGCAGAAAAGTCCTTAATCAACCATGTATCCATGGCAGGAGAACCACACAGAAGTTCTTCACATTTAAGGAATGGGCAGGATAAAGTGGGAGGAGGTGGTCCTCAAAGCAGTTTCCCCCAGCCTGGCAGTCTGTAAATGTGCTGGGCTAGTTCGATCATCCTAGCTGGCGAGGACGGGAGTGGTAACCCGGTGCATTTGGCAGCCACTATGCTGGGGAAGGCTGTGAGTCATTTAGGGTACAGTCCTATTAATTGCACCCACAGTGCCTGGAAGTCCCAGCCTTGGAAGGATCCAATCATACAGCAGAGGGCAGCAGAAGAGGTAGGTGGGATCTTCACCCACTCTTCCTCTGACAACGTTGTTTTCCATTAGATGGGCTTTTTTCTTGTCTAGTGATGGTAGTTTGGATGGGGAGGGAAGGAAGCTTGAGATGCCAAATAACTCATACCCTAGTCATGCTGGTCTCCCCTGTTCTTCACACCCATTTTTTCTCCTCCAAAGTTACTTTCATGACTTGGAGAACAGCCAGGTTTTTTTCCCTTGTGGTGTCTAAGAAGGGCGAGAAGAGTGTGGATGCTCGGATCTCCAACTCCTGCTTCCAAGGTCAGAGGACTGTCTCCAACCTTGGAGGAAGAATCCCCATTACCAACACTTGGCTGGGAAAGGTGTTAGAAAAAAGTGGTACGGAAAGGGATTCACCACTATTTTCCATGCAAATAATTTCATCTGTACCGAAGTTCAGGGCTGTAGTAAGCGTCTCAAGTGCTAAATTATTATTATTATTATTATTATTATTATTATTATTATTATTTTATTATTATTAAAACATTTCTATGCCGCCCCTTGCCGAAGCCTCAGGGCGGCTTACAACACAATAAAATACAATACAAAATAACAATATAAAATTAAAATTAATAATATAAAAAATAAATAAAAAATATAAACGATATAAAAGAAGTTATAAAAGAAAAGTTATAAAAGAAAAGAAGTCGCCCTGGCCAGATGAATAAGTAAATATTGTTAACAATTAAATAAAGAGTTACCTGAAAGGAAACTGGTGTGTTTTTTATTGTCATGATTCTGCTTGCGCAGACAAAACGGGCTATCGTGACTCTCTGGCATCGAGCGGGACTTCTCAGTGAGCAGCTCCATCAGCCTCCTTCTCCGGCGGAAGTTCATTCGGAACTGGAACAACAAGTTGCTGTCCACAAAATGGTGTTTGTTGGATACTGGGAGGTAGGAGAAAAGAGACAGATGCAGAGCAGACTTAGATAAAGGTCAGGATAAAGTCTGCCTGCCCTAGGTGACAAAAGTATCAGCTTCAACTGCATTATCATGAAAGTGCTTCCCTTCTCGATACACAAACCCCGTGGGTGCTACTCTGGAATGATACAAGCAGCTACCATCATGTTGATGACTTGTATGTGTGAACTGGGCCTTAGTTGAAGGCAGAAAGAGGAAGCTCATCTAAAACAAAGTCTTGTCAAGAAGTCCATCAACTGGTGACTATCCAATTGATTTGGCCTGCAGTGCCCTAACCTACAGTGCCCTAGCTGCCCAGAGACGATCCGTATTGGACAGGATTAAAATATCCTAATAAAATAAGTAAATAAACCTAATTGGCCCTGACCAGCATAGCTAATTGAACATAAGAAGTGCCTTATTCAGAAATCAGACTCTTGCTCCTTCTAGTCCAGCTGTGCTGACACTGACTGGCAGTGACTCCCCAAGGTTTCAAGCTCGATTTGTTTTCTCAGCCCCACCTGGTGATGCCAGGATTTAACTGAAACTTTTTGGCATGCAAAGCAGATGTTCTGCCATTGAGGTTCAGCAAGTGCTGATGCAGGTTGTACAAACAAACATCTAGACAGCCACAAGTTCCCAACGCCTAAAGCAGAGATTACAGTCTTAGTAGCAATATCTGTATTAAGGCTGGGATGAAACCCAGCGGAATCTACCCCTCTAGCATTCATGGAATTCTTCCTGGGCTTGGCCAGGTCTTGGAAAGCAAGCCAAGCCAAGAAGAGGTCCATGCACATTTGTGGCATGAAGGTGATGCAACCGGCAACCTTCTTCTGCATCAAAGACTGCTGCATGTGGCACGGGAGGAGGATGCTTCTTGTGCACCATGTGGGGCTCGATACCTGGGGGGCACCCCACTAGCACTAGGAACTTGTACTCAGAGCTGCAGCAAGGTGGACTGGAGTCTGGGGGACCGAGCCCGGGAAACCCAGCAGATTCCCACCCCCAAAATGGATTCCCACACCTGCAAGCTAAATCCACCTCTTTATATCAGTGTTTATCCTGCCATTTCTAAAATGTTCAGGTTAATGCAGAGAGCCAGGAAACAATTGAGTATGGGGTGGTCAAAGCAATAGGAGAAAGTTCTGTTTGGCAGAGGTGTCTGAAAGAAGAATGCTTTGCTTCCTCGAATACAGGGATGGGGAACTTAGGGACCTCCAGCTGCCCTGCCCCTTCGCCAGCCCTAGCTAAGATGACCAGAGATAAGGGATGATAGGAGATGTACTCCAGTAACATCTGGAGGGCCATGTGTTCCCTGCCTTTGTTTTAATAGCAGGCTCTATCTCCTGTTGAATGCAGATAGGACTGCAGGAAAAGTGTGTGCCAAGAAAAAAAAAAGTAGAAAAAGCAGTACAAACCACCTTTAAGCAGGGGAATAAGGAGACGTCTCCCACCAAAACTGCAGAGCATTGCAGACTTAGCATGCTCAGTGACTGTTCAATGTTAAGTGTCCATTTTGGGGAAGATGAAAATAGGGGAGGGGAGGGGAGGGGCATGCTAGATCTTTGGCAAGAGAGCCTGACATTTTGCTGTGCATACCACTTGTTATCCCCTGAAGGACAACCAAGAAACACATTTCTGAAGACTGAAGAATCACAGCTTGAATCTGGCCAAATTCACACAACACAACAAGTCATGCTACCTAATAGCATTATGATAACACCCCTGCCCCACAGCATGCATGGAGGGGGGAGATTAAGAAGGCTGGGTTCAGACAATGCAATAAACTACACTCGGGCTGGGTATAAATTGAGTGTGAGTTCTTACTGAACCATGGACTGTTGTTGAAACATGGGCAATTCTGTTGTCTGAATACAGCCATACTAACAAACCATGGTTTGTTAACTGGGAGAAACTCACAGTTCACAACCTAACAACGAACCATGGATTCTCTTCATGGGTTGTTCATGGTTAAAACAGCTGGGTTCACACAACGCGATAACCCTGAAATGATGCAAACCAGCTCTTTGTCAGTTACCTTGGTCCTGTGTCAGATAACACCATAGCTCCTGTTCTGAAAATTTATGGAGCTGCTATCCTCTGCCCTCCACCCCCTGCCTGGCTGTGTGACACAACAGCACCTGTGATTTTTTATTTAGTTCAGGCTTCGTAACGAAGGGCAGATGTTGAAAGATTATTTTTTGTTCCCACATTCTCTCACTGGGTATATCAGTTCTTCCCCACTCCTTACCCTTCAGGCAGTAGCAGCTTCTTGGGGACAGGTGTGTTTCTGATCTACCTGCTGTGCCAGGAATAACAATCCTTCTACAATCAAAACAACAAGTTCCAGTCTGCACTCAAACATGCAAGTTGAAAGTCTCCATTGCCACTCCAACAGTAACTGCCACGTGCTGCAGTCCCTACGTAGGTTAAGTCGTAGACAGGAAAGGGGAACAATGGCAGTGTCTGTGAGTGTCCAAGACACTGTAGGTGTGAACATAACGCCCTTCTGGGATCAGAGACAGTGCTCTATCCTTACAGAGATCTGACTCAAGCTTCCTGTCCCTCACAGGCAGCATGGAAAGAACTGCTGAGATGCCTCCCAAGGTTGGAAATTCAACATTGGAGGGGAGGCAAAGCTGGATGGAAAGGAGGGGACACTGGAGAGGCCAGGAAACAAGCTGTCCGGAGGCCTTTCCAGCCTCTCTTCCTTCCCTTCTGAAATGCCATCATTAGAGAGACAAAAAATGTCTAGCAAAAAATGCAGGATGGAGAGGCAAAGATGATTGGATGCCTCTGAGTCTGGGAGATTCAAGTTATCAAGGGCACAACTTATATGAAGGGTTTGTGCCCATTTCCTAAATAGTTGCCAGAATTTTCCTGTATGCATAAATCTAGAAAGCAGTAGTAGGAATAATTAACTTGAAATAAAGACTAGGTTAAGTTTTGTTTATCTTGTAGGGCAAGTCCAAAACTGGTGAAAAAATGGCACTCACCTATGAAAGCTGGTAATCCTAGAGGAACTGTGCAACTGTCTAAAGAAAAATATCTATTTCTCATTCACTGGATATTTACCAGTGAATGCTGACAATCATATTTAGGTTGCTGTCAACATTCATCCAGGAGTATCTGGTTTGGGACATTCATTCAGTCTGTCTGTAGGGTTTCGGCAATGACCCATATGGAATTGCTTTCCATGACATTAGTTCGTACTGTCTGGAAATGCCCTAAAAGGATTGAATCTCTGCTCTGCACCTAGTACTATGCTAGGAGAGAGGGGGGAACTCAGGTAAAATTATTAGGAGTAATCATAATATTACATTCTGCTGTTCCATGTACTCTGTCCATTTATGCACAATATGCCTTCATTTGCAGACTGTGTCAACTATGCTGTTGACTTCCAAGAAGTTCCCATGTGTGAACTAGCATGGATCAAAGCTGATAACGTAGCCAGACCAGCACATCTGAGACTTGAACCTCCCTGTGGCTCTTATAGGGGGAGTTAAAGAGCAGAAAAACATTGCAGCAATCAAGGTCACATTATTTCGAGTACAGACCAGAAGGTCAAATGCTGCACTCTTTGCCATCTGCTTCTGTAACTGCCGCATATAGTTACCATTATTTAAAAAAGAAAAACTTCAGAGAAGCCAGGATCATTCCCCCTAGAGTATCTCATTTCAGCTTTCTGGTTTACTTCAGTTGTGTTGGTATGTTGTTCTAGGTGTACTTTCTAATTCCCCCCATGGCCTTCCTTATGCTGAATAATAATTATTGAAAAAATAAAAAGTGCCTGCAAAAATAAGCTGTCATTTATTAAAATAAAAATATTGTTCCTCAAAATAGGCTATCACAAAATAACATTTTCAAACATCGTTATTACATTTCTACTATTTAGTAAATAAAATCTGTTTATTAAAATAAAAAGCAATTACTTATCAAAGCATAAAGTAAAGTCTGAATTATTTTCATTATTAAAGAACTTCCAAAGATTCAGGATCATTCCTCTCAGTTTTCTGTTTTACTTCAGTGCCATCTTTATTGGCTCACTCTGCCAGGTGTACTTTCCAATTTCCCCCAAGGCCTTCATTAAGCTGAATAGTTTTAAAATTAAAATTGCAGAGGTTTCTGCATTCTGTAGCAATTCATTTCCTGGTTCCAAAATCCTAATTATACCGCGGATGGTCTCGCACTTTCTTACACAGAGAGGAGGTGATCTCATCGCTCTGAATATAGGCAGCAATAACTGGACCGGGAATGGCGGGGAAGGCAGCCTCTGCTCCGGTGAGAGAAACCATCACTGGGAGGCAGAACACAGGCTTGGCACGCGGCTCCAAACCCGGCACATTCATTTAAGGTGCAGGGGGGTGTAGGGGGATGGGATTGTGGGTGGCACAGTGGTTTAAACTGCTGTGCTTCTGGGCTGGTTGATCGAAACGTTGACAGTTCGAATCCACAGGACAGGGTGAGCTCCCATGCTTTGCCCCAGCTCCTGCCAACCTCGCAGTTTGAAAGCATACAAATGCAAGTAGATAAAAAGGTACCACTTCAGTGGGAAGGTAACACCATGCACCTCGGTGTTTGGTCATGCCGGCCACATGACCACGGAATCCGTCTGCAGACAAACGCTGGCTCCCTCGGCTAGGAAACGGAGATGAGCACCGCCTCCAAGAATCAGTCATGTCTGGACTGTAATGTCATGGGGAAACCTTTACCTTTACCTTTTGTTGGGGGATATCCCAAACTCTCTGAACTTCGACTGCATCCTAGGCAGTGCTGGGGAAGCACAGAGATAAATGTCAGCTTTGTAGTCCCATCCTGCAAAGTAGCTGGATGGCCAGTTTTGGTTGTCTAACTGTAGCACTTTGGAGGGAGAGGAATGAGGCTGAGATGGTTCATATCTCAGCAGCACCAGGTTCCCCTCTCCCCATCCCCCATAGCACCCTCCAATCCCCTTCTTCAAGGGGATGTTTGTGACCTTGGAGAAGCA